GATCCCAGTGTTTGTATAGCAGAAGCCAAGCTGAAACAGAAGTTACTATGAAGCCTCTGGTGCATCATATATGCACTTCTTTTGCTTTGTAAAGGACAAGCAAGAACTTAAGCAAATTATTGATTTAGTTCCCTGACTCTCATTAATCCAATCTCTGAGCTGTAGCATGGAAGTGAATATTATTAGTATGTGCCCCTTCTATCCTGGGAACAAAACAAAAAAACAAAATAAGGAAGGGGAGGGGTGTTCTTGTGGCTGTAGCCTCAGTGGATGTATTTGCAGTGCAGCTTGTTCACTGTTCTCCCTAAAAACCAGATGAATCATTAGGTTAAATGAAATACTTTTTTTTTTCCTACTCAGCAGCTGAACTCAGGGCTTGTCTCCCTTTCCTACCTCCTTCATGACTTCAGTTTCCCTTTAGGGAAATGCCTGGGTTGTGCTTCCTGCTTACCATGGCAACTGGCACACAAAGTGAGAAAGAAAATCATGTTTGTTGAACTCTGAAATTGTTGTTAGCCAGAGCCAATTACTAGTTCTGTACAAGAAACAGTATTTTTCTATTCTTTGTGCCACAGAATCTAGCAATGACTTGGCCATAGGGCAAGAGGAGAATCTTAAACTGCCCCACAGCATTCCCATGGTTTGAAATATAAGTAAAAGGCACACTGTAGACCTGCTCATGCTCCAATCAGCACTGCTCCCTAAATCAGGGTGCTTAAACACATGGAAGTCTTTGAACACAATTTCACCCAGTTGCTTTTGCCTGCCTGACTTAGGACAATTGTCTGTGTAGGTTGTATTGGAAGCCACAGCTACAACATCTTGGATACTTTCAGCTAAGCCAAAACCAAGATTAAGCAAGTTCCCAAACTGGCTGTTAATCAGGAAGCAACCTAACCCAGTGCCAAAGAGCATTTGATACTGGTGTCTCATGCATCCTCATTGTGCCCCAGAGTCCAGAAGCTATGGGCAACAGAACATCTAGCTGCTATTCCACTGGATGGGGCTAAAGGTCACCTGGCAGCAAAGGAAAAGGCAAGCAGTGCATAGAAGTGAAGGAGGATGGCACAAGACATCAACAACAGCAAAAAGAACAGAATCATAAAGGTCAAGACAGAGAAAGATAGTGAGATTTCTGAGTTAATTTTCCATCTGAGCAGAATAAACTTTTCAAAGAACATGCCTCACCACATGCGTTTAGTGTTTCAGTGGTGACTAGAAATGAATGGGACCTGCAAAGCTCAGACCTGCCCAAGTCGTGATGCCCTCAAAAGTTAGATACAGTATGAGTGTTAAAACTTGAATATTTGCTTCACTCCATAATTAAACAGAATAGGTATTTTCTCATGTCTTATTAGCAAACTGCAATGTGAGATGAGCATTCTGCAAACCTAGAAAACTCATAGGAATTATGTCATCCATCTTAAAATGGGACCTGTTTTCTTCCATAGCACATCTGCTGCAGGGACTACATACTTGTATAATTTAAATCCCTTATCTGAAAAGACCAGGAAATATTTGAATTCAGTGAGAGGAAATGATTTCAAAGAAAACTTTGTAGCTGCTTAAGAAAGAACCACAAAGCACACAAACATGGGAACAACCAGTTCTGGAGAAAGGAGAATAACACATGATAATTATTAAACAGAGAAAGTTTCTAGGTAAGTAAAACCCAAAAAGGAAAAAACTCCAACACCCAGACATAAGATAGAGTTGAACCAGTATGAAAAATATCAGGTAAAATTTTCTTTCCCTCCTCCTTCGTAAGAATCAGGAAGACTAAATCAGAAGAAACAGGCGCTCTCAAACTGCTTTACTAATTGGGGGGGCTTTTTGGTTTTTTTGCATTGTGAGATAATTTACTTAAAGACTAAGGGTGAGATAGTGGAGGCAGATAATAATGGCCCATCTTCGCGAACGAAGATTTGGGGAAAGGTCTTTTACCTTTCCAGCCTGCGCAATGGATTTTTTTTAGGTGAGACACAGCCTGTGCTGAACTGAGCCCACCCTTTAATCCTAAGGTTCATCTGCCGGGGCCAAGCAAGCTTGGACAATGGCAGTGAGGTCCTCAGGACGTAGGTTTGTTTAGAGTGACCTTCTCATAGATGGATGGCCTCACAGGCCTAACGGACTCCATCTGCCCCGGGGACTGGCTGGATTCAAACCTGGGTTGCAGAGGTGAGAGTCCTGCACACTAACCACTAGGCCACCAGGGGTCCTCTAGTGGAGGCAGAAGAGAGGTGTAAAAGGACTAGGCTGCTCATTTGCAGAGAGTTTTTTGAAGTAACTTGGCTTTACAGGCTCCATACTCTGTGCCAGCTACAGTACCGTGCTAAAGGTGAGTGTTGCTTCAAGAAAAATAGAGAAATCCTGCATTCTCTCACAGTTAGCAACAGCCCTGGGTAGCCAGAGCAGCTCACTGTTCATCACTTAGCTCTCTTACAGGGTTTATCTCAACTGGTGAATGTGCAAGAACTGCAGATGACATTGCCTATACTGGAATTTCACCTTGGTGCAAGTTAACACAGTCAGAAACACCCTTACCTTTTTTTCCAGTTGAGGATTAACCCTCAGCAGTCATCCTCAACTCCTCTGCAGCAGAGTCTCCTAAAGATAGATGGCCGAGATTACAGGGAGAGTTCTTGCAGGAGGTTCCCAGCATACCACATGTTGCAGGGGCTTTCCCCAGTTGTCAAGGAGGGCGGGGCTGCCAAGGGTTGGGAGTAGGAGGCTTCATTTATAGCTAGTTTTAGGTCATTCCTGGTCCCAGGAAACATTTGCTTGGCACAAGTCCCTGTTGTAAGGAATGTGAAAAACTAAGATGCCAGGTCAGTGAGCAGGATGGGGAATAAATCATCTGAGTCAGAGGATACCGAGCACTACCACCAGCCTGGTTCCTGGTTTTCACAATGAGGTCGCAGCCAGATGCAAGCATGGCACATAATGGTCATTGTACATCATCCATGAACCAGCAAGGTAAATTAAAATAAGGCCTAAGAGAGTCTGTGCAAAGAGATCTCATGCAGAAGAAGTGAAAGGAAAGGTGGAAAGGGTAGGAAAGCCTGCTGGAAAAAGGGAGTCAAGGCACAAAATATGCAAAGGCAGCTCTCTCATTGCTTCATTGCCTGAAGGAACAGAGGCCTTCAGTACTGTCAGCCACAAACATTTGGCAGTGTGAAAAACATCAGGTTACATTTCTGACTGCATGGGAGAGGAGCAGATGAGAATGTGGGATTCTTGTTGGCTTGGAGACCACATTACTCCATCATGTCTGAACAGAGGATGCTTCTCAACAAGACTATTTCTCAGAGCTGGGAATATTACAATAAATTAATAGTCCAAAAATTTGTTTGGTCACTCTATGGGAGAATTGAAATGCATTTTTATTGCCAAGAGAGAACTGTGAATAATCACTCCTACAGAGAACAAATACACAGAGCAAATCTGCAAACAAACCATACAGCTTCCACCTGGAGATTTTTTCTTCATCCTATCTTATCAGGATGTCTTTGTTCAGTAGTTTTCATGCACATATACGTATTGCCTGCTCTGAAGGCCACATACATCCATACCTTCAGGACACTATCCAAACAGCCAAGAATGACCAATATTTCTTTACAAGTCTCAGCCGACACATAAACCTGTTCACCACCATTCCTGTCATGGACTCCATCCCTTCCTCACCCTCCCTCTGGCATCCCAATGAACTTGCAGAGATTGGAATCAACCTTCAGAAGCTGAAAAACCAGAAAAAGCTGTGCAGGATTTTTCATTACCCTGCTCAACATCATTCTGCCATCAGTCCAGTCTTCTCCTTCCTCCTTAGTTCAGGCCGGATAAAGCTGGCATTTTCTGGTTGCATTGAGGCATGTTTGGCACGTCTGCATAGATCCACCATTGCCTGGATCACTTATTTACTGCTTTTATTTTTTGAGAACATGAATCATGAAGTGCAATGGGAGGGAAAGGCTTAGGAAGCAGAAAACAAATGTGAAGAACCCAAACTTAATCGACTGGAGCTGCCATTTATGTAATAGGTCAATGGTATCATTTGCAACTGGTTGGAGCAGTTAATACTGAAATAGTCTATTTAAAGTAGTTTCAGTTTCTTTTGTCCTGCAAAATCTTGCAGCATTTTCCCCTATACTGAGTGCAGTGCTATAATCACACCACATTTAGATGCACCAGAAAGGAAGAGACCTCTCGGTCTGAAGCCAAATACCAGAGAAGGAAAATAATATTTGATCTTACCTGCTTCTGCAGTCCTAAAAGTTTTTTCCTGGCTGTATCTACAGAGACATCCATATGCAGAAGGCACTACTAGTCTCTAGAAAGTCCCATAGCCAGTTTTTTCACTCATTTGCAGAGCTACTTGAGTTTCAGAAATAACTCAAGCAAGAGGCCCTTTCACAGGAATGCATCTATCCACAATGGCTGCCATGGCTGAGGAGTTATTGGAGGGGTTTGGCCAAGCAAGGACAGAGGCTGTGTGCCTGCATTGTCCTTCCTCCCCCATTTCTCTCCTCTCTGCTGGCTGCAGTTGACAGGCATTTGCAGTTCATGTCAAGTAGCAGAGAACTCAGTCTTTGCTATTGCTCCTTAATTTGGGCAGATGCTGATTCTCTTAAGATTTCTTTACATTTAGGTGTTACTGTAGCTCTCAGCAGCATAGACACAAAAAAACCCAACCCTATCACCAAACTCCCCCCTCCTCCCCTTCAAAAAAAAACTCTAACCACTGACATACATGGCTTACATGGTCTATTCATGACTCATGTCTCACAAAAAAAGCAAAGACTAATTTCCTTATGGAATTTCTGAGAGTCCAGGGTCTCCAAGACAGTCACCACCCCACTGAACCAGGGGAGTGGCTGAACCATAAGGACTTTCAGTTCTGAAGGCACACTCATACAGAAAACTTCTATGTTGCAGTTCCCCATTTCTTCCTCAAGCTATTCATCCTCATATCTGCCTCTTTCTCTTCCCCAGCACATTAGCAAAGGATTATTCAGAGTTTCTGTAGCACCATGCATCAGAATGGCATTACAGGATATTAAAGCCTGCCTTTGTCCTGCCCCAGACGTCCCAGATACAGACCTTTATTATTTCCCCTTCCCAAACACATCATCTTGAACAAGAGAAAAATTTACTTCCACTTCTTTTTAATTAGTATTTTGGTGAATATACAAAAACAAAGAATCAAGGCAGATGGCAAGTGTCAGGACCTGAACCAGTAAAACTTCTGAAGGATTCATCTTAAAATCCTCTACAAGAGCATATTTCTCATGATACATTTAACTGCTGAAGTGTTCACTAGGAAAGACAGCAGATAAGTCCGGGCCAAAATAAGCAGCCTCTATTGAACTGACTGAGAACTATAAGTGCGGATGCAAGGACTGGATTTGGTTCAGTTAGCTCCTTGCTTGCATTTTTCACAAGAGATACTCACTGCCATTATTTGCCTTATGTCCTACCTGATCCAGGGATGTGGAAGGGGAATTACATAGGAGATGTAACCATATACATACAGGTAGCCGAAGCAAGAAGCACAGTAAACTAGGAGCATGGGACAACCACTTTTGCAAAGCCAACGACAGCACAAGACCCTTTGTATTCTGCACGAATTCTAGCCTGTAGATGTGTGAAATCTTGTGTGAAGTACAGAACAGCTTTTTGAAGGAGTTGCTTGTTAGCAAGTGAAGATTTTCCTGGACTGGCACTTCTGAAGGTAGGAGTACATGCAGTAGTTTCATCAGCGACAGGAGGTAGGCTTGCTTATAGGCAGCATATTGCTGAGGAGTGAGCTAGCCTTTTATTGGGCTTGACTAGCAACACTTTTTCTCTGTGACATGTCTCTACTGCCGACACACTAAAACTCTCAGGAAATCTGCCTTATTCTAAGGCAAGGGGTGACAGAGACCAGGAAGAGAAGTTGAACAATAAAATATATTAGAGAGGTCTGCAGTCTTCTCCCTTGCAGCATCCATCTTTATTGGTCACGGGAGGTTACAGTTTTGGTCACAGGAGGTTACAGTTTTGCTCACACAGCCCTTGCTGGAGCCTTTAGCATTACAATTTAAATTCAACCTTACTTTAGAGAGCCGTGTTTTGCAGCAAGTGTATATGGAGATTTTCTTTACTGATATCATCAGAGAACAAATCAGATAACTTCTTATCTTATGCTCCAAGGATTTCTTGCACCGTGAAAGGATTGTGCCTCAGCCAGGAGACATAAAGGCTGCAGAACAAGGGGTAAGGAGGGACAAGAAGATTCTTTCCTGCAGTCAGTTCTGTGTGTCAGGTTTTGGAGCGGCAAAAGTATATATGGGAGAGGTAGTGGGAAAACTTCAAATCCTCCATGGCACAAGGAGAATGGAGCAGAAGACAAACGCAGTTTCATGCGGCATTTCAGGACAGCAGTGAGTACACCGGGCCTTCAGTATTCAATTCCACTCCAGTAGAACATGGTACCAAGGAGGACGCAGAACTGAAAAGACAAGACTACTAAAGTTTCTCTGCTCCCCATTCCCTTCTCTCCACCTTTCCCCCATCCTCATTTAGTCCCATTGCTAGGAGGGACAACAGAAATTCTTGAAAAGCAAAGCTTGTTCAGGCAGAGGAAGCTTAAATTTTTTTATCTGCACAGAAACTACACAGTGAAGGAAGAAGATATGCACAGTCATAACTATCTGACTATCACTCGTCTTACTAGGGATTATCTCTCATGAAGCTGCTGAACCCTGAGAGTTTACTTTTAAGAGTACTTAAAACATTCCTACAAAGTCTTCAAACTACAAACTGAATTATCTATCATGATTGCTGTTTAGATGATCCAATACCCTTCACAAACAAGTATCTGCAAGCTGTGTTTGCTGAGTTGTGTTGCTGAGATGGCAGCAGGACTCATCAGGCTAGAAAGCCATCTGGTTCCTCACCTCTGGAAGCCAGAATGGAGGAGAACTTGTAAATGTAGCAGTTAGTGGAACAGGCTACAGGCAGATAGGTGAGGAATGAATACGATAATCTATGAACATTTTAAATGCGTCAGTCCTGTCATCCACCTCCACCCAGCTGGGCGTGGAATACCAAGAAAAGAGAAGAGGAAATAAAGGCAAATATAAAGTACTTACAGTCCAGCAGAGGATGGCAAAACCAAACCAGGCAACACCCCAGGCATGTGTGTTTACTGGCCCAGAAATAGCGTCATAACAACCCTGTAAGACAAGCAGGGATGACTCAATACCAGCTTTGAGGTTTTACTGCAAGGCAAGAAGCTCATCCACTTCTGAGAGAGACTGAGGTGACATCTTCCTCTCCTACTGCAATTTGGGCACCTCATAGGGTCTGAAAAAACCAAGCCAGAGCTACACTGCTTATTGACAACTTGTAGATAACCTAGCTCCAAATGCAAAAATCTATCTCAGACACTTCAAGGACAACTTCCTGTGCCATCCACTTGCCAAGTGCACTTAGATAACCAAACACAGTTGACACAGAATTGACCTCTAGAATTCAGAAGCTACAGGCGAAACTGGAAGCTTGAATGCCTTCTAGAAATGCATGCTAATGCAGAAGCTGATGCTCATGACCCAGCAACCTATTTGAATAGATTAGTTGTTAGTCTACTGAAAAGTTCTACCTTGAGGAAGAGAACTGCTGATTTGCTCATATTATATGCACTCATCTTTGGGCTAAGTTTGATTCAGCTGCTGTCCATCTACATGTTACAGATGTCACTCCTTTCTGGTGGCATTGGGAGAGTTTTCTTAATAGTTCTCTATCCATCAGGAAAGTCTTTATCCTAAAAAAAACCCCTATCCTGTGTTCAGCAACATGGCCAGGACTCCACTCCAGGCTCTTCTCCTCCAGAAAACTATTGAAACCCAGAGATTACAGTAGAGGAGAAAGGCTATTCACAGTTTCTTTCCCTTCCAGAAAGGCACTGTTGACTGACATACATTAACTGGAAAAAGCAGGGATGATCTTACATTGCTGTTATAATAGCCAGGGACTCCAAGTTTGCAGCCATCAAGGTTGACGGGAAGCCCTTGGGCATCCATGGCACAGCATTTTCGTGGCCAGGGGAAGTCGGCATCGTTGTGTGTGAGGCGGAAGGCAGACGTGTACTCCTGCCAGTCGGAGGGGCCCAGCACCCCACAGCAATGGTTCTGCAGGGTGAGAGAAGAGAACAGTCTTTATGGGCCCAGGCCACAGCCCCGCACATGTCTGGACACTGCACATGGCTGGTTAGGCATTAACTACAGATTTATGGGAGAGATTTTTGAAGTGCCTGCCTTTGACAGTCTGTCATCTGATAAACAAGCAAAAGGGGGAGTATGTCAGAACTTTCTTTAAGGTTCAAGGCAGATGCCATCTTCTTTATTACTGAGTGGCCCCAAGAAGGACTTGAAATTCCAGACCTGCAGAGCACTTAGTAATTAGTGACTTTTACTATTGTTATTATTACCTGAAGCATGAGTTTATCCCATGTCTTTGTGACCCCTTCAGTCATCCATTTGTCATGGTTATTAGCTGTCTCTGCCTTCTGATACTTCTCCAGCATTTGCTTCAGGAAGAGATTTGGAGTGAGCTACAGAAAAAAACCAACAGAGTCAGTTGATGCAAAAACAGTGTAAATAAGTGGCCATGTAAAGCAAATATAGGGTTATTTGGAGAGGGTTTGTTTGTTTGTTTCAGTGTCTTGATGGAGAACAGAAATGCTGCCTCTCCCCTGGTTTTACACAAAAGAGAATAAAGAGCAGGATTTGAGGACCAGGAGCAAGAAAGATATAGATCTTAAGCAGGCACTACCAGATGTCAGACCACAGGAGATGTGCAGAAGCTATGGGTTGCATTTGATATGTTGCTTGGAACTAAAGTATCACAAATCATTTTGCTCCCCACCAATATCTTCAATAACCCATGTAATCTTTCCCTCACTAGTAACATTGCCTGGGGCAATGCTGAAGATTTGTCTTTGACGTGTATAATAGATTAATCAGTCTGTAGCTGAAAGACTAAAGACTGTATTGATGATTCAGCTAACCCACGCTATTATTTCCTTAACTGCAAGGTTGTAAACATTTTAAAATGTTAAAAATAACAAAACTATGTTAGAAAAAACAAAGTTATTTCCTTGATTGGAATAATGATGTTGGAGTCTTTCCCTGTAGGGCTGTCTTCTGCTTAGCAGTAGTCCTATGAGTTTACACTGTACTATCACATAGGCCATTTACTACACTGAACAGGACAACTGTGTGCCCTAGAACTGCATTTCCCAGTGCAGTTAAAAGAATACATCAGAAAAGAAATACTCACGAAGTCTCGGTGAGTCGCTGCGGTGATACAAGAAGCCATTTCAAATGCAAAAGTAATCAGCATCAGAATGATGTACTGTGGGAGACAGAGAGAAGAGTTAGTTCTTAGAGAAACAGTTACACATTTTTTTTCAAGATTAAGCCTGAAACCCCACTCAAGGTAAAGGTGGCCAGGCTATCATAGTTTCTTCAGTGCCTCTCTGTGCCCCTTAATGTTCATGTAGCCTTTCCCTGTGCTTGTTTCAATTTGCAATCTGCTTTCTTGAAGGTAAATGGCTGGAATTGTTCCCCATCTCACAGATGAGATTTCATCAGAACCTCATGGCATTAAGACTACACTGCCTCTACGGAAAACATTTTGCCCGATATGTCCTAGAATAACATTTGCCCTTTTCTTTGTTGCAACTCATTGGCAACCTATGTTTGTGTCATGTTTCTCCTTCCACTTGACATCTATAGGCTTTTCAGCAAGAAGCTGTTTGCTCCTCGCAGGAGAACTTGTACTTTGGGGAAACAGAAGGTGCAATTTAGAGTATCATTCAGATCCTCCTGATTTTTCATCATCAGATTTCCTTAATACTCATACATTGTGAGCAAAGATCCTTCACAAAAACAGATTCCAAGGGTCACCTCTCATGGTCTATTTCACTCCTTCTTTTCCCTTTTCTGCACAGTCCCTTTAACATTTTCCATATTCCCTTTGGATTTCTCGTGTCTATTTCTCATCTCACATTTTATAATGTTCATCTCTAATTCAAGTTTCCTTCTTACCCAAGCTTCTGTCCCTTGTACCCTCTCGTATCTCCTAAATCAGAGCCTTGGGATTTAGCCAAGACACCAAAATTCAGAGTTAAGGGAATTCTATTTCCTCAGCTGTTCGCCGGCGAATTCCCTGGCACAGGAGTTCAGATCTCCGAGTGTCTCTTGTCCAAAACAGACACCCTGCCACCCCACAATAATCCAAGAGAGAGCTGATTCCAGAGTTTTCAGCTCCACCTTTTGTTCATACAAGCATCAATTAAGTTTTGCCACTAATGTTTTGCCAGACCAAAGGACTAAGTAAGACACTGTACAAGGATTTGTTCACATCTTAACATTGTCCTCGGCTTATCCAAATCTCTGTCCCCACCCCTGCAATTTCTGCCTGCCTGCTGATGTCTAATGTTCTCAACTGCATCCATATTTGGTATACTGACACTTACTAATGCCTTGTACAGAAGTAATTACTTATCAGCTCCTAAACTGAATGGTGCATGACAGCTGAAAAGCAGTAAGGGGTGGGGAGAAACAAGGATCTAAACCACATCCCAGATATATGTGATTGCACAAGTGCTTCTGCACTGCTTAAGGGCAAAGTCAGGGTCAAGCTAGTCAGCTTAAACCTCCACTGTGGCCACCTCCATCCATTCCCTCAGCCTGGTCTGGGATCTTCTCATGCATGCGTCTTCACAGGAGTAATTTCCTGGGACACTACAGCCATGATCAAGAAGAACCTTTGGCTCCTCATCACTATAAAAGCTGTCTTTGCTCATTGGTTGATTACTGAGGTGATCAGGGAAACTAAGGCAGCATTTCTTCAGTTTGATAGCAATAGGTAGGCAAACTTTGGTATACTTACCACCAGCAGTAAGGTCCTGTCGGACTTAATGATTCCAATGATACCAAGGATAGATAGAGCAAACAGTGCAAAGCCAACAAAGATGCCAATCCAGGCAGCAGCATAGATGTCTTTATTTTCTGTGGCTTCCAGCAGAGGGTAGAGACCATGTGGATCAGACACAAAGTAGATACATTCTGCTGTCAGGGCAATGCCACACATCTGAGAAGCACAAGTGTAGGAAATGCATTAGATCAAGCTTCCCTAAAGAAATAGGAGAGACAGAAGCAGGCATAGACTGCTTTCCTTTCATTTGATTGCCTGACAGATGGGAGCTACTCAACTCCTCCTCTGCCCAGCTCTACAGTTTCTTGTGTTGTGACTTCAGAGAGGAACTGCAGGCAAATCTCACCCAGCCTAGACCTGAGAGGTCTGGCCTAGGACCTGAGGATGTTGTTATGAAAGAATGAACAGAACTATTCCATCACTATAGGGAGGGAGGGAGGGGGCTGGAAAGATGTTAGTCAGCTCCTGATGACAGTTCTAGGACTCTTCCCCTAGAACTTACCTTGGTCTTCTGAAACAGCCCCTGCTGTCCCTTTCCCACCAAACTGATCATCTAGGACAGCTCTCCTTTTCCTCTTCTCTCACACTGTATTGGACTATTTATGTGTGGACTTCACATGTGAAGAGGGATTTCACATCTGAAAACTGTGTTTTTTAAGAAGTGTCATATTGGAAGGAAGCCTCCACCATACTTGTTCCACTTCACTTACCCCAATGACCACATTTCCAAAGACTAATAGACCCTGCAAAATGTGTATGCAGTCCTCACTTTTTGCCATCTTTAGTTCTTCATGCAACCTAGGAAAAGCCAAATACAGTCTTCAATTAGACCACCAGTACAACAGGGTTCACAGAGAAATAGAAATTATGCTTGAGGAGAAGGATAGATAGAACTTGCCAGCCTGACTGTACACCTCTCACCCCTTATTTCATAGTAGTTTCAGAGGAGAAACTTCCCCAGTTATTAATCTGGTAACTCAAACTCTCCCTGATACTTGAGCTACAGAAGACTGGGACCACTTTGAGGGCATAGTGTCTTCATCTCTGTTTTGCGTAGGGTTTTCATCATCACAACAGCACCCATGCCAACCTCAGCTCATGGTGTTGCATTTACATCTAGCCAGAAACACCAGCTACATCTGGATGGACAGTGGATAAGTTCAGTGCCCTCACCTCTCTCCTCTTCCAAAGAAGCCAGTGTTACTCCAGAGCATGCTGTCCACTCTGCTGGCTGTTTCACTACCATGGGACTGAACTGGTAAGCATGATGTCTTAGCTGTATCCCACACACATACCTTTGGTGCAGGGCTTGGCTGCACATTGCTAAGGGTAGCCCATATCCCACCCATGCTGGAAACTGGGGCTGAGCCCTGCAAGTCAGGTGTGAGGGAGGGAGGAAGGGTGGAAGGGAGGGAGGGAGCAGGTCAGGCTGCAGCTGGCTCATGGGAGCCAGGCCAAGTAGCGTTCCCACCAAATTCCTGAGAGTGCTATATCCTGCAGTCTGGAGTCAGGTGCCCCGTGTCAAATTCATCCCCTTCCAGAGAGAGGAGCATAAAGGCACTAGTCAGTGGTGTGAGACCTCTTAGAGAAAGAAGCTCAAATGCCAGCTCCTATGAAGTCCTTCTTTCAAAGGGATGGAACATGTGTCTGCATGGAGAGGGGGAGGGAAAAACCCCAAACCCAGAGACAGCTGCATTTGCCAGGTGGTTAAGAAAATATAAACCCAGAAAGAAAGGCTGAAGTGGGCCCCACTTAAGCAGACAACAGGAAAAGCAGCTTTAACATCCTTCTTCTGCCAGAGTACCTGCACTTGCGTGTCTCCTGCTGGGACCACTGACTCTATGATTCTTCAAAGAAGCTGACACAGGTGTCAATGAAGGGGACTTTCCTGAAGAACAGAGAATTGTGAGACCTCTCTAACAATGCCACCTCTTGCCATCTAAGCAGCTGCCCTATTTGGGGTATGCAATACTTCCAACAGTGACAGATGGAAAACAGGTATTTCCTACTACTCTTTCTGCAGTGGTTTGAGGGTTAGGCATAGAGACATCTCCAGTGCTCTCACCATTACACCAGCAGAGCACACAAATATTTTCTATTTTCCTATGATAGCCTGTGTAGGCATGGCCATTATTTCTAGGGTGAGAAGCCATTTTTAGTCCCAAACAGGTATTTGGAGGCCAGACCAATATATATGAAACTGTATGGCTCTGTATTTGAAAATGGCAGGCTCATGAGCACAACTTGAAGCTCTGTCACTGCCAAACTTCCTGACCAGTGAGTATGTCCAGGGGGTCACATAAAACTGTTTTACAGGTCAAATCTGGATCTGGGCAATGTTTGGCCACATGTTCAGCAATACAGTGCTGCAGATTCTGGCAAACCTGAGATGGACCCTGGTCCTCTACTCATCTGAAAGCTGGAGAGATTGCTGTCTGGCTCATGGACCTATGTGCTGCAAACTCCAGAGATTTTAGAAAAACCTTTAGTTATTGAAATCTAAGAAACATGACAAGCCAGGGAGCAATCCAAAAGGCAAGGAAATCTTTCCTGCTCAAATGCAGGCACTTGAACTCTGACTACCACACTGAAAAGCGGGTCTGCTCCAGCTGCCATGTAAATACCACGATTCAGTGTGAGATGCCTCTTCAGTGTAACAACAGTGCTCACACCTTGTATGTCGGCCGTCCATCTGGCCCATGCTCTTGCCTCCCCAGAAGCTGGCTTTCTTCTCCTCCTTGGCAGGCAGAGCCCATCTTACTCCTGCCTCCCCCTGGGCAGCTATTACTGCAGTCACATGAGTTGGAGAAAGCAATCCTCTTCTCCTGGGGTTAGCCCATCTCTTAGGCTACTGTAGTTGTGAAGAAAACTGGACACGGTCACCACCACACAGGTATCAGCTGGAGAGTGGCAAGTTTCTAATTCTCCTTAACTAAGTCCAATAGGATTGCAGCATGGAGGGAAGCAGACAGACCAAGAGGAGGAAAAGGGAAGGAAAAGCCTTTACTGTAGATCTAAAAATAAAAACTGTAATGATGTTTCTGTATTTCTGTGAATTCTCCCTCTGCCTCCAAGTCATTGGCATTGAAAGAGTCCATTATTTGGTACTCACTTCATTCCCCTGTGCCACATATGGCAACCCTTTGTCCGACCCCTTCTGCATTTCAGGTGGTCCAGTATCATCATCACCAATCAGAGACCATGCAAGGCCATGACAATAGCTGGGCAGCTGGAGACCCAATCCTTCAACAGGCCCCAGAGGAGAAGCTGTGGAAGATCTGGAGCTTTCCACCTACTATCTGCTCCTCCTGCCTCAGAGGGAAGCTGCATTAAGCAAGAGCAGATAACACAGCACTTGGTCCTGGTACATGAGTACAAAAGCATGAGGCAAACCTTGGCCAACTTGCCCAAGGCAAGCTGCACAGAGGTGTGACTCACAACCACCCTCGGGTGTGACACTGGTAGGCAGCCCTCCTCCCATCCCTCAGAGGCACAGGTGCATCAGCCTCTGCCTGTGGACACAAATGCATTTGGAGGTAGAGGAGCTTTCTTCCTGGGCTGGTTAAGATTAGTTTTATGACCCAAATACAGTTTCCTGGGGCTTCAGTGGACTCCCAGAGGAAACTGGAGCTTCAGCTGCAACCACTATCCAAAAGCTCCACATAAGAAGGCAACCAGGTCCTGGGATTTCAGCCTTGACCCAATGTTTCTCAGCACATCCCGAAAACCTTGCAATTTAGCTGAGGTATTCAATTGTCACTACCAGAGACTTTGCTTCATACTCCAAGCAGCTTTGGAAAGGTGTCTGTTTTTCTCGTTGTATGAAAAAACCCTTCATCCCTCCTGAAGCACATATCTCTTCCTCTTTCTGACGTACTGGTCTCAACCCAGACTGCAACTTCTCCCCACTCCTCTCCACTCAGACTCCTCAAACACTCCTGACACTCCCTGGGTCCAGCTGAGCCTGTTGGAGTTCAGAAGCAGTGGTAGTCCTGCCTCCCCCTCCCCCTTCTCCTCCACAAGTTGCAGACAGATCTGTTATTTCCATGCCCTTTGAGCTTTTGTGACCTCTCCTCACTTCCTCTACTCACAAGGGTTCTGTGAGACCTGCAGCACAACTGTGGGAGATGAAAAGGAAGCCTCTTTCTGCAGAGGGTGGCTTCTGCCCTTGTGTTTGAGGTGATAACCTCATGCAGGGTTTGAAAGGAAGTCCTTCTGCCAACAGTTCCTGGATTCAAGTGGAATTTGGGCTCTGTTGTGCGCCTCTCACACACATTGGGCTGGTTGATCTTTTGAAGCCTCCATACCCTATTTCTATCGATCAGGACAGGATTTCAGTGGCTTTACAGATGAATTCCCCTTTTTAGCCTAGCTCTACTCCACCTCTTGACAAAAAAGCCACGGCATAAGAATTGATTTGGCATTGTCACATGCAGAAGCCAGTGGTATTTTGATTGTCTTGTGTTTTGTGGTACTTGTCAAGCATTGTGACAAAGGGATGTCCAAAACCACCTCTGTGAGTATTATTTGCTTCTAAACCCTGCTCATGGAGGTTTCTCAGCATGGTGGTGGGGCTTACAGGGGCCTCACATCACCCCTTGCTGACTCAGCGTCCCCGTGCAGGGCGTTGCATTCCCATCCCCTGGTGCAAGGAGGCAGAGACAAAGGACGCATTTGCCTTATTACTCATGGGCTCCGCACGCCTTGGCTGAAGGGCTCTGTACCACTCGAGCGCAACTAAGCAAACCCAGCTGTTCAACGGCAGAAACCTGGTCCTTGCCCGTACACCCCTCCGGCACAGAGGCCCGGGCACCACACCTCCCATCCCCTGTGCTCACCCCGCCCTGGGGGAGAGCATGTCTCCACAGGCAGAAAGGGAGATGCCTGGGCTAGTCCTGTGGTGCTGATGGACAGAAGTCATCGAGGTGGAACTGCTGCCGGAGGTGCTGTGCCAATGCCAGCACTGGTGCCGTGGGAAGCCTCTGTGAGCCACAGACCTGCCCACAACCGGACCTGCTGTGGAGTCTGATGCATTAAGCGATAAACCTACTTTTTTTTTTAATTAGTTACAGTGGAAAATTTAGCCCCTAAGGGACTTAAAAAAGAAGGTGTTTTCCAAGTGCTTGGGTCATCATCAGAGTTACACAGGTTTTAAGAGGATGTAATTTAATCTGTTAGTGATGAGTTGCTTGGACTTCGCTGTAAGAAATCTAATGCTTTACAAATATCAATTCATCATATGTTTACTTATTTTAAAGCAAACACCTCCCGTGCACACAAACTCATGCACTCCTCCTGCCCCTCCGGACTTTTCCCAATGCTCCACCTACCCCAAAGTGCAGCCATCTCTGACAGAGAACTGCTTGTATGTTAGGAGTCAACTACACTCCGAAAAGGAAGAGCCAGACAGTTATTTTGTGCTACCAGGGAGAAAAATAAAGCAAAACCAAAGCTTGGCATCAAGAAGGGGTCAGAGACTAATTAAGTTTCCTTTGGAGAGAGATTGCTACAAAATGAAGCCTGTGTGAACAGTGGAGTGGCTGGTAAATCATCATCAAGCATAATTACCTTGGAAATAGTGCTGGGAGGTAGGTTTTTCCTCTCTCCCTTATTAGTTCAGCACAGCCAAAACAAGAGGGTTTTTTTTCCTTTCCTATATTCAGAAGTGAGGGGGAATGACAAGATTCATCTTCCTCTGCAACATTTTTCTTTTTTTCTTTTACACTCAGATTTACAACAGGTTTAATTCTTCCATTCCTTCCTACCCAGTCTTTAGGAGAAAAAGTATGAAACAAATTAAAAGAGCCATAGAGAAGCCAGAGTAAGAAAAATTAAATACTTGATAATTTACTGCAGTTAATCTTATCCAGGTACCAGACTCCCATATACTAAACACAGTCCAGGAACTAAAATAAAAGACATTAAACATAAGAGCTGCCTTTTCTCCTAATAGACACTTATGGCTCACATGCCTCATTAAGAGGAAGATGATGACCAAAGCAAGGCACTCACCTCTCTCTTCTTGTGATGTTTCCCAGCAGAAATCCCAATGCACCTGCAAAGCCAACAAAACCCCTTTCTCCCACCTCCACTGGGCTTTAAAGAGCCCAGGTCGCTTGAGGAACGTGCTGTGTGATTGGTAGGGTGCCCATCACATGAGTAAAACTTTTTTTCTAGCCAAACCTGTTCCCCAGTCCTCCTGAGACCAGAGGGTGTCTCTGTGATTCTTAGATCGTATTGGAATGCTGTTGTGCCAAAAACACAAAGCTTTAAAGAATTTCTATTATTATACTCTTGAAAGGGTGGATGAATGAGTCACTCATATGAGGTACTTGAACTTTAAACATGATGGGTAAATTGGAAGGACATAAGTATTGCTGGACTAAAAGATTACTGGACTGCTGTTTGAACATGGGTATAAGAAGAATGTACTGAATAGAAACAGAGATTAAATTAATTTTAATATTTCCATTTAATTATGTTACATGGGAAAAAATCCAGTGGTTTGGGTTGGGTCTATTTTCATCTTATTTAAATTGGGATTTTTTTTGGAAACAGAAGTGTAAGCATTGGCCACTATGCAAGACACTGTGGATAACACAAAAAGTGGGAAGACCATCCCATTTCCTTGGGCCCTCTGGATTTTTAACATATTCAGCCTTATTAAGACTGAGCAAAGTCAAGCACAGACATATATATTAGTTGGCCTGTGATGAACTGAGAAGGACTAAGGCTGAGGAACATGGCAAAAAAAGGAATGTCTCTCACCTTCCTCTCCCTCACTCATTTCAGTCCAAGTCTGCCAAAAGACATGATTCATGTTACTGGAGCCTTGAGCATGTCTCTGGCAAAAGCACAGGTGGTTGTGCTTGGTGTTCTTCATCTACTGGTGCAAAACCCAGCCAAATAAATAATGGGCTTGGGAAGGGCGAGGGGAGTTCCATGTTGTTAGAGCCTTCACAAGTCAAAAACAAACATGAAAATAACATATATATATCCCATTGGCAGCCATCCTGGAAAATATTTTGTGTGAAATTAGTGAGAACTGAAATAGTTCTAACATTGTATGGATCCTTTGGTACCTGGAGAAAACTGAAGAGAGATTCAGCTCTTGCATGAGGTCCCTGTGAGATTTCTCCCTGAGGAAAGGACAGTGCTTTTGGCATTTCCAGCGCCATGAGGTATCACAGCAATAAACAAAAGAAGACCCAGCCATTGTAGTCTGATCTAGCAGACAGGCACAAGAAAGTGGTCATTTGGCTCCTCAAGCATACAGATGCTTATTTGTCTAGACCTAAATAACTCAGATCTCCTTGCCCATTATTTGTGCTCCTTACATGTGAAGTCTATTTTGGTGCAGCCGCCACCCCATATTTTGGCAGTGTTGGCAGGACCAGGTGTTTCACACCAGCTGGTGTGTTGAGCTCCAGGAGGGCAGGCTCCCATTGTCACTGTTGGACACTGAGAGCAGGTGGTGGGGAAAAGGCAGTGCACCTCCTGAGCATCTCAGTCTGGCTGATCTTGGGGCAGTGATTAGGCACAAGCCTGCTGTGGTAAGACACTCCATCACCTCTCATCTGGAAATATTGTTTTGGGAAAAGCAGATGAGGAAAGAGGAGAGAGGGAAGCGGAAGCTGGCAATGAAGTTTGTAGTTCTGCCAATCACCAGCACTGGTGCAGTAGAGCTCTTGCAGCTCTGTAGCCCTGTCCAGGACACTGCAAAAGGCTGTTAGAGTGAATCCTTCTTTGGGCTGGAAGAGAGGGTAAGGCTGGGGTGGGTGGTGGTCACTCCTCAGCTGCCATCACCATTTGTCTGCTCACAGTTTGTTAATCTGGCTTCAAATCTGGGTAAGAATATTTTTGGTGATCTCTGGAGTGAAATTTGGTATGGAGAAGGAGAGAGCAGATGAGAAGTTTTGTTTGTTTCTTTGCACTTCTCTTGGTGTGTGCTAACAAGGTCAGACTGTAAGTTTGCCCGAATGCCCATGCAGAGGAGTCAGAGACCTTGTCCGAGCAAGGGAACGCAGTGGGGCTGAAAAGCCATGCAGTGGGAAGTGCCCCCAGGGGTACCTCCACTGGGGTGCCTGCAGCTCTTTTAGCCTCCCTGTGTCTGTGTCTTTGTCTGTGTTTGTGTTGGCATACTGCAGGTGGACCAACACTTCTATATTGCCAGACCCATACATTTGTGAAAGCTCTTGCATTTGTGAAAGCTACAGACTGACAAGTGTGCACACCCTCTCACAGAGCCACACGAACACACACGAGTATCTGCACATGTAGAAATCCATACATGCACGTGCTCTCTTTGCATATCCAGACATAGGTCCACATATGCACACACCTCTGTTGTGTGTGAGTTAAAGGCAAAGTGCAGGATTGGGAGTGAAGACACAGTCATTTGGGATTTCATCTGGAGGGACAGTCAGATGCTGAGGCCACAGCCTGGCCTATTTTCAGATGGAGGTGGAAAATGAAATTTTTCAAATCTATCACTTGGCTACTGCAACGTGCTCTGTGGGTGACAGGGCAATGTGAGAACATGCCTGTCATAAAGTATGCCGTGTTTATTCAAAATTGGCATGGAAGGCATGCTGGAGGATGCCCAAAGTTGCTGAAAAAGGCTGATTAGATGTTGTGGGTAATTCCAGTGGGTTGGCCCCATTCTTCACCTCTAAGAATACTTTTTCACCTTCCTGAATCCTTTGAATTTCTTTTCTTCATACCGTGGAAATAATGGTTTAAGATTGAGAGAATATGAGAGGGTGGATTTAGGAAGGGAGAGAGCACACAGAGAGGAAAGGAGCCTATGGTCAAAGTAGTAGATTGCCAGGAGTCATTTCTGTCACTGTCTCATGGCAGCATCATGGTGGAGCCACTCCTATCCATGAACAGGGGGCTCTTGACTGCATTTGCAATGTTGCATGGGAAGATCAGATCTCATGGTTGAGGGAGAGGACTTAAGAAATCCTGCATACCCAGCAGTGCAGCTTCAGCGTTGGCCAATCTCATGCACCCATATGCAGGTTCAGCTTGACAGGCACTGTCTGTTTGTCCCAGGGAGAGGAGTTTTTTTGATGATCGCCCCTCCAGCACACGGTGGCAGTGCATGGCAGCCCTGCTGGGAGTGAAGACAAGCATCAGTGCTGCAGCAAGCTGCAAAGGTGCCCATGAGTGGAGGGGCTGCTGCCTTTCCTGGCAGAGTCCCAACCTCACCGGCGACCTCCTCCTGAGGGCACTGCTCCCCGTGGCTGCAGCCCCAGTTCCTGCCACCCAGCTCTGCTCCTGCATTCCTGCAAGGGCTGCAAACAGCTGCTTCCCAGTCCGCAGTTTGACCTTCCTTCCCTGGGCCAGATTTGGGTTTGAGGCTCATGCCTACCACCCAAGCCCCCCACGTGCCATGGCCGGGAGCCAGCTCCTCCCAGGAGAAGGGAATTCCTCATGGCTGCCTCCTCTCCCATCTCAATGCACCCGAACAGGGGGCGAGGATGTGGGCTGTGGGGGACAGATGTCCGTTGTGCCCCTCGGGTTTGCAGCTGGCCTGGCCTCCTGCCAGGCTTGACTCCTGCCTCCCCAGTTGAGTTGTGTCTTTTGCTACAGCTACTTCCCTCTTCTGGCAAATTCTTCCCCCTTTTTTGCCACTTTTATAACTCTCAATCTCAAGAGACAGGAATAACTGTGGGGTGCAGAGAATAAATAAATGAACACCACCTAGTGAGATCAGGGGAGAGCAACTCTGTCTCTGAAATTGTTTACCAAACAGTGCTGAGTGTGAGGAGACAAATGGCATACGGTTAGCAACAACCATGGGCTAATTATAGTGGGTTAGGATAAACCACCGGGTCACTGGGCTGGCCACCCCGGCTAAACCTGCAAACATATAGGCTGAAAAGCCCAACTGTATGTATATATTTAGTATAATGTGGAATGTGGTAAGTAACTTCTCTCTAAAACTTAGATACCTTGGTGAAGAGTGTTACAGAGAACAAGCATTGTTGTGACTCCGGTAATCCTGGTGTTTTGCATTTAGCAATAAATATGGCATTGCATTCTTCATTCCTAAAGAGAGAGCTATAAGGCACACTCTCAACAATGGGGTTTTTTAATATTTTGGGGAAGGAAAGGGACACACAATATTTTTCTAATTTTGTAGGGTAGCTTTATTAATGAGCTTATAACCATGCCTGTATTTTGGTGTCATTAAGACTCGCAATTTTGGGTGGTTGCATAAAGCCTGAGCTACTGGAATCATGAGATTGCATGAAAATCTGTGCTTTCAGCCTTTCAGAAGAGACTGTTTCTCCTGACACGTGAGCAAGCAGAAAGAACAACTTGGAGGAAGCTACTCTGTGTTGTAAAGAACTGAGTTCAGGCAGGGAACTGCTTCCCCAGGGACTTTTGGGCCAGTGCATATAGTGATATTTGCATGCGTGGATAAAGGCAGTAACAAATTAAATCTTGGTACCCCACTGCTAACAATTAGACCAGCTGCTTAGGTTCCCTACCTCAGTGGTCTCAACCCAAAAGCTTAGAGAAGTAGTGGATGTATATAAAGGTTAATCTCTATTGGCTGCTACTACTGTTAATAAAGAAGACCCTTAGGGTGCCTTCTTGCACATACTGAGAGAGATTTAGGCTCTAAATCTCACCGTAAGGATGCCTCTTTTACTCTGCTGACTATGAAAGAAACTCGTAGGAGAGCCTCAACACAGGCCTGAGGCTAATTTCTGCAAAGGAAAATGCAGACCAAAATATCTGCATCGTAGAGTAGCTGATCTCACCTGTGTTTTTCAGCAACCTACAGGTCACATTTTTGTACACGCAGAGAGCAGATGATAAAACACGCATGGAGGAGCCTGATGTCAAGCCCTGCCCTAACTCCCCTCCCACTGGCAGGAGTTTCTCCTGGCAGGGAAAGGGAGCCAAGCCCTTCAAGAGTGACGCTCCTTAGCCAACACCCTTGATGGCATAAAAGTGCCAGTAAAGGAGATGTGGCTTTCTTTTCAATCTCATCTTCTGATGAGATTGATGAGGGCAGGCAGCTCACTCTGAACAGGAGCCTGACCAAAGGGAATCATAGA